TACAAAATGGCCATTTTGTTTCAAGATTTTCTGATGTCTTGTCAAGTGATGGTTTTAATTGCAAAATTAAAAAAATCAAAACCAACCAAACCTCTCAATTTTATTGAACATTCTTTTTAAGATACTTTTATTTAATTAAAGGCTTTTTTTTAATTAAACAGTATTAATTATATTTGGAACCTAAACGTTCGAAAAATAAAAAATTGTATAAAATATTTGTTCTCTTTCATCAGGAATCTAACCTGTATTCCTACACGGAAAATATATTTTATAATATTTTCATTATTAACATTAAGATACGTTTCGTGAGCAGAAATTATAAATCGAAAAAATATTTTCACTGAATCTCTTTTTACATTGTTTCAAGACTTTTTGTTTCATTGCATCTCACTATTAAACCTTTTAGAACAAGGTCATTTTTTTTTACAGCACGGGTAGAAAAATATTTATTATTATCATAATACAATACACTATTACTTAAAATTACGTAAAATACTTACAAAGACTATCTGTCTTAAATATAGCGTTATTTCCAGAAATATAATTGTCATTTTTTTGTTTTTTTTTAAGCAAAATCAAAGGTAGTTATTATTCACTCTAAAAAAGTCTTTAGGGGATACTTAATTTTCAATGGTCTTTATTCAGTTAACCGAAAAAACTTATAACCGTTCATTCGACAATTTGTCTCAACCAACGGGTCTAGTTTAAGTGCTATGCTGGTCTAAAGGCATCAACGCTCTGGCTAAGACGATAAACTACATCTAAAAAAAGGCCTCTGTTCAGGAGGTTTTGATGGAAATGGAACCAGGATCTTAATTGTTTGATGTTCCCAGGTGTTTACCCTGAATTCTATTAGAGCATCTGAAAGGGTCCCAGCTATGGGCAAATTACTATGAAAGTGTCAAAAATAAGGTTTTATTGCCAAAATACTAAATTAAAAAATTTTTAGCTAATTAAATACATTTTTAAAAAAAAAATTATTTCTCCCAAAAAATTTTTGAAAAAAATATCATCAATAATAAATACAATTTTTCGGTGGAAAATGATTATTGATATCTCGTAAAACCAAACCAAACTAACAAAACCGATTTCTATTTGTAAGGATGTCAAAAACAAGACGTCTAGTACCTAATTAAAAAAATTAAAAAAAAAAATAAAAAAAAAATTTGAATTACTATAAAACTAAATTAGAGTGATTATATTTTTTGATTTAAAACATTTAATTAAGTAGGAAACGCTGGATAATAAAATTAAGATAATACAAATTTAAGGGTTTGATTAGCAAAACAAAGGTTGCGTATTATGCATTTATAGCATTTTCCCACGCTTTCAGCACATTTTTATAAATGCGTAAAAGGAAAAATATTATGATGAGATTATTATACATGGTGAATTACGGTAAATTCCAATATTTTGTTAGGTTATCTCCTGTAGTCTCTCTTTTTCCGTGACATTACCTTCTAGAACTTGGGTGATCATGGCTCTCCACTGTTTCCTCTCTGTTATCACTTTCTCTGACCATTTACTGTCTTTACGGCACTTGTTTGACACAAACTTCTATTACTCACTGATTTTTCTCAACACTCAGAAGGCATATTGAAGTAAAGTCCTTCAAGACTATTTGGCTTATGCATGTAAAATCTTTCGATTCACCTGTTTTATATCTGTCTATATTTCTGAGATGAGGTATTATGTACACTATTTACATTATTCGGACAATTGTCCTCATTTTTGTCGTCATATTTATTACAACGTGTTGGCCGTTGTACGCTCCGACCTTCTTCAGGTGGTTGGAATGTCGAATTGAACCCTTTATTTTGCTCACTGGAGTAGACTGTTCTAGTTCAGCGTGCCATGTTTTAATGGATGTCAATTATCAGTTATCTCTTGTTAATTCCCCTCTCCAAGTTCTCCACTGCCTTAACCGCTTATTGAACTCTCACAAGGACACATGGCACAGTGGATTAAGGCGTTGGTTAAATCCATTGACAGACCCAAAGAGTGTGATCTCAATACGCGGTTTATACGGGGTTCTACTTAACTCAGGTTTTTCCATGGCGGTAGCATCGTTTCTTTGAGGAAGGGAGAGGGAGATAAAAAGGATGTCAACAGGTCGTCATCTCATCGCAAAGATACCTAGGAGGTGAAGTTTTATGGTACTTTATCTGATATCTATCTATTAAAACTTGTTAAGATGGTTACTTGCTATTTTTAATCGGCTTCTCTCCCTTTCGATGGATATCGGCTCGGAATGAAAAATATGTAAGCAGAGTTCGTATACCAGTCCGGTTTCTTACATTCACTTAAGAGCAAATACCCTCTCGAAAAGTATGAGGTCATCTCTTCTCCTCCAGTCTATGGGTTAAACAGTACTTTTATCTGGAAAAAATTCTTACTCGCAAAAACTTAATGCAAAATTTCAATAAAAAATATATTCTTACAATCCATAATGTCTTAGTGTTAAATAACCAAGCGAGGGTTGGAGCTTACGCACTTATCACGTGAAAGTACCGGCTTCCGTACGATCCACGAAGTTACGTAATATCGAGCCTGGTCAGTATCTAGATGGGTAACCGCTTGGGAATACCAGATGCTGAAAGCTTGGATGTGCGGGTGGTGTAATAGATAATGGCTCTGAATTTTTAACCTATTAACTGCCAAATTTTTAAATGCGCATTTTTGGTCCAGTCTTAGTTTATTTATTCCTTATTTTTAATTTTTTATAGAAACTAAAACATCAAATAATAATAATATCGATTAGAAATAATAAAAAAATACTTTTCAAAATAGTCTTTATTTTTCTACTCGTGAAATATAAAATTATGACAGAAAGTGTCTTCTTACGGCTGATAATAAAAACTTTAAAGTGTAACTTGTAATATATACCTCTGCAAATGCAATGTATTTAAGCAATTCAATGTAAATACAAGGAATAACATGTAATAAGTTAGATCTTAACAGATCCCCAAATGAGGCTCATGGCAGGCGATGGGTTAATAGAAGAACCGATTTCCAATTCTAGTTGGATTTTTATATTCACTTACGTGTTCTTTTGGGAAAGGCAGGAATACACCTCTTCTCCCTCCAGCTATGGGTTAATTATTAACACTTATATCACTAAATCGTTATTTCCCAAATAAAATAAAAAATATTACAATCTAAAAATATTTTCTAACTTTAAATAACCTGCAAAGAGTTTGTAAGCCGTAAAGAAGAATCGGTCAACACGCGCGTTTAATATGCCGTGCGTGTTAATTTTTCTAGGTTTTATTTTTCATGATGTATCCAACAAATTCCAGCTCTCATTTATTTTTCTGTTCCATCATTACGAGTGGTTTCTTTGTAGTTTCTGCCCTCCTTACACTGTTACCTTTTCTCACGTCTGTCTAAATTTTGAACATTTTTCGGAAGAACCACATCTTTCTCGATTCACGTCTTTATTTGTGGAGATGTAAAAAGAAGCAATAAATTAACAGGAACCCAAGCTTCAGCAATACTCACCAGAAAACATGGACATACATACATACATACATACATACATTTATACATAATGATGCCACCTCGTTGACGAGAATAAATATCAGAAGACATTATTGCAAGACATTATTGCAAGACATTATTGCAAGACATTATTGCAAGACATTATTGCAAGACATTATTGCAAGACATTATTGCAAGACATTATTGCAAGACATTATTGCAAGACATTATTGCAAGACATTATCTTTGAACTAGTGTGGCTCTTTAAACTAAATGTTTTTAAAACTACGACATTTTGTCATTAGGTTTTTTTTTTTTTACTGCTTTCATTAATACATACATGATGATTGTCGCTTCTTTAAAGACCATCTCTGCATTTGGTAGCTTTTTTGTGCTTTCTGAATGTTATTTCCATCATTTATACCCGAGCTAATTCTCTGCTATGTACCAGTAATAACATATCAGTTCACGTATTTAAAAAAAAAACAAAGATAAAATGAAAGATATTAAGGAAAAGAAAGATATTTTTTAAAAACAAAGATAAAATGAAAGATATTAAAGAAATGCAAACTTTTAGTTTGCATTTCATTAATATTTTGCTGAGTTTCTGAATGGCATTTTTCATTAGTTTAACTGATTTCGGATTTTGCATCACATTATCCAGACAGTAAAATGTTCATGTCAGCATTGTTTTGTTTTACGTCCAGAATATGAAACTTTTAGAGAAAAGCATGCATTCTGTTTCATAATTAATGGTTTCTTTTTATCGATTAACTTTCTAATCTTTGTTTCCGTTGGACCTTTCAATCTGTTACTAACACTATCGTCTGTGTCACGTATATTTCTATGCTGTTAAGGTTACAACAAGACAATACTATGAAGAATAAAATGTCATTAGTTTTACAAACACGCTCAATAAATAACCAAAGAGAAGCCAGCAAGAGACAAACTAGAATGTTCATAAAATTTAATTTTATCATCTAGGAATTAGGGAATCAGAAGACAAAACAATTCACGAATGCGTTGTGATATGTTGAAAATTCTACAATAGTCAGATGAACACTTACATTTAAATAAAGGAGTCGGAGTTATCTGCCCCTAGTTTCTTTGTTTTTATTGTTGATGAGAGGGTGCACAGTCGTGTTGTCCCTAATAAAATAAGTGGCCGCGAGTGGTAACACGCTACATGTGTCTGTTTCTCTCTTGAGTTTATTCTCCTCTATGGAATATGAAGTTGAATACCTGCATTCACACAACAGCATATGTTTTCTATCTAACATGATGCATAAATTTCTAACAGGGGTTATGGACCCAGAATATAGGCCTCGTGTGCTAGTAACGTCCATCTTGAATTTGCCGCGCGTGGAAAAGAATTTTACCAAGTTGTAAAGTGTACGATTGAATATGGCAATGGAAACGAAGCTTATTAATCATGTGCCGTTGAATGGGACAAATTACGCCATTTGGAAAGTGTAATGTAAAATGGCATTGATCAGAGGGGGTTTGTGGAACATAGTTAATGAGACAGAAGTTGTTCCTGAACCCAAAACAGATACGAACTTGTATACAAAATGTCGGTCGTGGAAAGGTCCTGCCTCGGTGATGATTGTGTCGTCAGTCGAACCGTCATGTTTGTATGCGAATCTTGCCGTGGTGTCTAAAAATTGGCAGACCAATTTCAAAAGAAATCGTGGGCAAATATTGAGATATTTGTTTAAACTGAAAGAAGTTCATTCTGTTAACAATATATTAAAGCCATGACTGAAATATTTGAAGAGTTGTCAGTCATCGGTGATTCAATTGATAGGCAAGCTAAAAGATGCACAACTATCAAATTCTTATGTTGGTAACAGCGCTTGAAACTAGTTAGGATGTGCCTAAGTGGCCATTTGCTGACTGACCCACTGTTGTAGGAGCAGTCAACGTTTAAAGCAGAGGAAAGTGGTAGTCCTGGCGTTAAAATATAACGAAAGTGGACCAAATAATTACCACTGTGTAACAAATGGGCACATGAAACATAACTGTCGACTACTTGGTTGTGGTAAAAACGAGGTGAATTGTGTTATGAATGGGTGGCCCTTTTCCCCATATTAACCCGAACAGATATCTTTGTGGTGCCAATATGTCTTCATGGAAAGTTAGAACAAAATTGGCCCGGTCATTTAATCATTAGGAGCATCTGTTAAAACCATAAAAACATTGTTCTAAAAATACCTTCTTGCTTTTAGTACTAATCACCATGCTTCAGCCTAGTTTGATCTCAACCCTTTCTCTCTTCTCTCTGCCCTCCTTGACCTGTATACATGTCCACGCATACACATATGTAGAAAACATCTCCTTCCTAATATGTGCCTTGAAAGGCCATTTTATTAACAAAGCCTCGGCAGTGAGGTCGTGTTTTCGTGCCCTGGTAATGAAGAACATTATTCACCGGTAAACATATTATTATCTTCTACATTCATCGTGTCCTGGGTATGACGATATACTACATCCGCGTTCAGATTAAGACAATAAACTACGTCCAACGGCAAGCCCTCTGATAAGGAGCCTTTGTGGAGCGTGGAACCACCTTTTAATTGCTGGTGTTCCGCGGTCCACACTAACCTGGGGTGGTAGCACCTGTTAGGGTCCCAGCTATGGGCAAATAGTTAACCCCTAAACGGAGGTAAAAAGCCTTATAAAAGTGTAAAAGTAGGTTTTAATACCAGAAATACATTGTAAATAATTATTACCAGAAATAAATTTTTGAAGAAGGAAAAAATATTACCAGCTATACGTTTTTGAGGAAAAAATATTACCAAAAAATATTACCAAAATAAATAAAATAAAAGCTGTCGGCATTAAATGACCCAAATCAAACCAATCTACATTCATCTATGCCTATTTGTTTTGCCTTCATTCAACCAATATCAGAAAAACTAGTGTATCTTCTTCCGGTCTGAAATATATTACTTTAAATTCTGCTCTTCCGCTTATTTGGTCACATACATTAATATTTTAATCAAATTCGCCCTAGACTTTACTTCCCTTTTGTTACGACCTGTTTTTGTTAACCGAAATAAATTAAACGAAAAGTAACTTTCATCATTTCTTTTATTTTGCTTTTGTTTATTTTCGTTTCTTTGCCACACAGTGACAAAATGGTGGCTGGTACTAACTGAAAAATTAAAGACATCGTATATTTTAATGATTTTGTTTCATTACTTAAATACAGTATATTGTATGTAATATTTTGATGTTTTTATAACTTGCTATTATACCGTGTTAAAAACAAAAAACAATGTCTTATTTATCGGTGATACATTTGAATCTTTAATAAAATGTAAATGATGACAACTTGCTTCATGTTTTAGATGTAAATACATTGAGGAAAAAATCAGAAATAAAAAGCATTGTAGTTAAAAATTTGAAGAAATTTTAGATTCTTATATTAAACTCTTTTCAAAGTGATTTATATTTACAAATAAAATTACAAGAATTAAAGATTGAAAGACAGAAAATTGAATTAGAACATGGAACAACACAAAATTCTTCTTTTCCTGGTTTTGATGCAGCTAAAAATGTTAGACTTGTTCCTAGATTTTCTGGAAAATCGGTAGATAAATATTTCTTAAAATTTGAAAAACGGCAAAAAAAATTTAAACTGGCCACGCAAATTTTGCACAACTTTATTACAAAGAGTTTTAAGGGAAAGGGCAATTGGAATATACTCATCTCTTAGTACTGAAGATTCAGCAGATTAAAAATTTGTATTAAATGTATACGGACTATTGCCAGAAGCTTGTAGGCAGAAATTTTTAAAATTCCTTAAACTTTTGTAGAATTTTCGAGAAAAATCTATTTGATCAGTGGCTAAGGGCTAAAAACATTAACAATGATTTCAATCAATTGCGTTAGTCAATTCTTATCGAAGATTTTCAGTAATGTTTAAGCCATGATTTAGTAACTCGGAGACAAAGATATAAAAAAAAAACAGTCAAGGAAGCAACGCCGTCTCCGAATCTTATACCTTAACGCATACAAAGATAGTAATTAGACCAAGTGAAAATTACTTTGTTACGGGCCGGTGTATGCGTTGAGAGATAAACGCGTGTGTCTCCTGAAATGCCCACGACAAACATGGTGGACTCGAGATGTGAGTCCACGTAAAGAATTATAAAAACAAGAACCAATATATATGTACAAACTAATGATAATGTACTGACAAGAAAGGGGTATAAGTGACAATGTGTGCAATAAATGAATGTTGAAAGTTTTTGGTCCAAATTTTGTGAAGTGAGAGAATGTGCGTACCTCCGTGTGTGCGTGTGCGCGCGCGCGTGCGTGCGTGTATGTATTGTTCTTGCGTTTACCAAAAGGGAACGCGAATCTTCGTGAGTGACTAACATGTTGACGTATAAGATCAGAAGAGTGATGCAAAAATTATTTCAGACTATAGTCCCGAAGAGCGTCCTCTAGTAACGCCTTCGAAAATTAAGAGGAAGTAACTCGACAATATTAATAAATTGATGTGCCAACCAGTGTCTCATTCTGTTTCTCCTCCGCAAACTAAACCTCTTTTAGGATTTGCGTTCAGTCAAATAAGTGGTCATTTTCAACTTTCTCTTGAAAAAGATTCCCCAATTATATGTAATTATTGTAAGGAAGATAATCACATGATGTCTGATTGTTTTAAACTTAAAAAGAAATGTGAAATTGATAGCTCTCTTTATCTGCATGCATTTTCTAATAAACAAGTCTAAAAAAAAAAAAGCTTTCCTCATTTTTGAAACTCCTGTTAAGCAGGATCTTAAACCTCATATTGTTGGAGAATTGAGACCTTTTTTCTAACGAATCTGTTTCTATTAACTATACTGGTTGTTGAGGGCTTATTCAGATATTACGAGGTAATGGTGCTTCTAAAACTTTGTTTAGAGGTGTGCTAACGTTATCTCATAAGACTTGTAATTCAGTGTTATTACAGAGTATTGAACTGGGTGACGTAAGTGTTCTTCTGCATCGCATTTATTTAAAATCGGACTTGATAACTGATTCAGTAATTGTAGGCGTTCGTCCGAAGCTTCCTATCTATATAACTTGGTGACGATTTAGCGGTGGGATTTCATGGTGGATCCTATTATCACTGACATACTGGACGCTGATAATGTCTGTGATTTGAAAAAAAAAATCAGAATTTGTTCTGCCTGCGCTGTTACGAGGGCAATGGTTAAAAAAACAAATTGACAATGATACAGGAAATATATCGCTATCATGGGATTCTTTAAAATTGAATGAGACCATCAGGCTGAAAAGTATGTGGAAACTTGTTAGTAACTTATATTCTCAAAAAGTTATAAAAGAAAACATTGGAGATAATCTTAGCCGAAATAAGCTAATCATCGAACAAAGAAAAGATCCTGACCTCATTCAAATTTTTATACGAAGTCTTCCTCTTGAAGAAGCAGGATAAACTCGTGAATGTCTTTATTTAAACAACGGCATTTTAATGAAAAAAATGGCGGGCACTTCATGCAAATTCTGATGGATTTTTTTTTCCTATCACATTGTAGTTCCAAATGTATATCGAGACACACACACACACACACACACACACACATATATATATATATATATATATGAGAGAGAGAGAGAGACTTATTGAGTATAACTCATGATACTCCTATATCAGGACACTTAGGAATTAACAAAACGTATAAAGATTTTAAATCCTTTCCACTGACCTAGGTTAAAGGATGACGTTACTCAATATTGTAACTTGTCACACTTGAAGCTTAACCAAAATATCTCTTCTGTTCCTCTGAAATCTATCGCAGCTTTTCATGAACCGTTCAGTAGAGTTTTAGTAGATTGTGTGGGTCCTTTTCCAAGAACAAAATCGGTAAATCGGTATTTGCTTACGAGGTCATACTAATACTTCTCGAAGTGCTAGTATACCTTCGTCGGACCTGCAAAGGATTGCCTTCCTGAAGAAAAATGTGACCGACTCAAGGCAGAAGACCAGGTCAAAGGAGTCAAGGAAGCGGAGTGCGTTGGTTGATGCTTCACTGCCAGCGGAGGTTATTGTGTCTGGAATGAGGCCAGACCTGGTGTGTTGATGGATGGCGAGAAGAAACATATGTTGCTTGGCGAGATGACAGTGGCATGGGAGGTAGGGATTGAAGAGGTACGTGAAAGAAAGCTACTTTGGTGTGAGAAACTGGTGATTGAAGTCTGAGAGAAGGGAGACAACTGCACCCTGGTGTCGTTTGAGGTTGGCTGTAGAGGACTTTCTGTTGCTTCCTTAAAGAGATAACTCAAGTGTGCTGGTATCCAAAAGCCGAATACGGTGATAAAGACTTGTGGTGAAAAGGCGTTTGAAAGTAGTGCTTGGATTACCCAGAAATTCTTATCGGATCGCATCCAACTAACAACATAGACCGGTTGCAAGAATACCATCCAGCTGTTGCGTGCCCACCGTGTGGAGAGGTACTGAAGATTGCAGCTGGTCTGGAGCACTTGATGTGAACATATGTGCATAACTTTCCCAGAATCTATTCCCCTCAGGAATATCAAAGCTAAAAATATTAAGACTCTTACAAAATTCTTCAGTTTTCCTGGTATTCCTACTTCCATTTAATCAGACCACTGTTCTGTCTGGTTTATTTAAAAAAAGATAACACACAAATTGGGTACTGAACAATACGTGACCAGTCCTTATCTCGAATCACAGGGAGCTCTCGAAAGTTTTCATCAATCCTTAAAATCTATGATGAAAAAAACTTTATCAATATCATAAAGATTAGGACGATTGGGTTCATCTCGTTTTATTTGCTGTCAGAGCATCTATTAAGGATTTCCTTGGTTTCACCCCACTTTGAACATGATTTCGGTAACGCTATTAGGGGATCATTAAAAGTTGTTAAAGAAAAATGGTTGTCCGAAATCATAAAAAGTAATTTGTTAGATTAAGTTTCTAAGTTTAAGAAAAAAATTAAGTGGTGTCTTTAAAATCAAACCAGAAAATTTAAAAACTTCCCAACAAAAAAATGAAAAGTAAATATGACGTAAATAGAACAATTATGAACTTTAAACCTTGTGACAGTTTTAGTATTTTTACCAATCTTTTATCACCATCTACAAGCAAAATGGTGTGGTCTTTATATAATAGAAGGAAAAATGAATGATTTAAACTGTTCTCACACCTGATCGGCGTAAAGATAAAAGAATGTCATGTTAACATGATAAAAACTTATATTGAGAGAAATAATATTATTAAACCAGTTTCAACCTTAACTAACATTGAAAAAAACCTTGGTTGTCATCAAGATGACCAAAATGATATCTTTAATATTAATGAATATACTAAATTAATTCCCCACCTAAAAAATATAAAGTAATTTAAATAAAACATTAGGACATTTATCCATAAGAGAAATGATGTTTCTGATTTGGTCAATGATTTCAAAACAATTGTTCCTGATGTTCAGGGAAAAACTACTACTGCCCAGCACGATGTTGAAGTTGCAGATGAAAAGACCCATAAAACAACATCCATACCGTTTGCATCCGATTAAACTTTAACATCTCTGAAAATAAATTCAATATATGCCGGACAATGACATTATTGAACCGAGCAACAGTGAATGGAGTTCGTAAAGGATTCTTGTACCAAAATCGGATGGATCTACAGATTTGTGACGGATTACCGCAAGTTAAATGCTGTGACCAAAACACTTGTTTCCGATTTCCTGAATCGATGACTGTATTGACAAAATTGGCAATACACGATATGTCAACGAATTTGATCTCTTGAAAGGTTATTTGTAAGTACCCTTATCTGACCATGCTAAAGAAGTTTCTGCATTCGTTGTCAATGACAATTTGTACCAGTAAAGAGTTATGCCTTTTGGAAGCTATCATCAATTATCCTGTTCCCACAGGCGAAAAATAACTTGAGATTTCGTGGTATGGTCGGATTCTACAGGAAATTCTGTAAAAATAAAAAAAGTAAATAAAATAAAAATGGACAATTGTGAGTCCTCTGACAAGTCTTCTTAAAAAGAATAATAAATACTTATGGAAAAAAACTTGTGACAAAGACTTCGCAGGAATAAAATCTATTCTTATAAGTAACCTGGTTCTTTCATCTCCTGATTGTACAAGACAATTTAAACTGGTAGTGGATGCCAGTGATGTTGAATTGATGCTGTTTTATTACAAGAGGTTGCTGAAGAAATCGAGAAGACTGTTATTTTTCGAAAAAAAGTTAAATGAGTATCAAAAAATTATTCAATGTTTGAAAAGAAATATTTAGCGTTATTGTCTTGTCTTCACAACTTTCATCCAATTCTTGTGCTCACTGATCAAAACCCTTTAAGCTTTCTACAAAAAATGGCAAACAGAAATCAGACTCACGAGATGGGTTCTTCTCTTTCAGTAATACAAATTCCTTATAAAATACATCAAAGAAAAAGACAACGTTATTCCTGATACACATTCCAGGATATATAAAACCAAATTTATTGGTAATGATGGAAAACAGTAACGGAAGAAGACAATATTTAATGTTTGAGACATCTAGAATTTGTTTTAAGATTTGAAAAAAGATTTTAAGTTTTCCGAAATTTTCGTCAGATTTTCTTTTATGGGAGGAGGTGTTATGAATAGGAGGCTCTCCCCCCCCACCACCACCACCATAGTAATCAGAACAGATAACTGGTGCTAATCTGTCTTCATGGATCGTAACAACAATCTTGACCTGATCACTTGGGGATTAGGAACATTTGTCAAAGCATAAAAAAAAATATTGTTCTCTTAAAATACCCATTTTCTGTTATTGCTAATCACCATGCTTCAACCCAGTTTAACCTCAACCCTCCTCTTTTCTCCCTGTCCTCCTCTCCCTGAATACATCTCCACGCATACATAGATGTAGCCATCCTGGATATGACGATAAACTACATCCGCGTCCTGGGTAAGACGATAAACTCCGTCCAGCAGCAAGGCCTCTGATCAAGAGGTTTTGAGGAGTGTGGACCGACCTCTTAATTGCTGGTGTTCACGGGTCCACCCTGACTCAGAGTGGTAGCACCTGTTAGGGTCCCAGCTATGGGCAAATAGTTAACCCGGGAACTGGGCAAAAATGGGGTTTAATACCAGGAATACTTTGTAAAAAGAAAAAAAAAATTTGAGCAATAAATTTTTGAAAAAAAAAAAAAAACTATCACCAGCAATACATTTTCGAAAAAAAATATTACCAACTATACATTTATGAAGGAAAAATATTACCAGAAATAGATTTTTGACAAAACAAAATATTACCAGCAATAAAAACTTTGTCGGCATTAAATAACCCATTGAGGTTGATATGCCGTAAAACACAACAAACCGAAAACCGAAACATAGATGTAGAAAACTTTTCCATCCTAATATGTGCATTGAAAAGCTATTCGATGAACAAATCATCAGCAGTGAGTTCGTGTTTTCAGATCCCGGTAATGAAGAACATTATTCACCTGTAAATATGTTATCATTATATTCTATATTCATCTATCTCTCTTTTTGTTTTGCCTTCATTCGCCTAATATCGGAAAGACGCGTGTATCTGCTTTTGCTCTTAAATGTATTAATTGAAATTCTGCTCTCCTGTTTCTATAGTATTCTATAGTAATGATTTTAATCAAAATTGCCCTTGACTTTACTTCCTTTATGTACATGAATAAATAAAGCGAAAAGTATTTATCATCATTTGCTTTATTTTGCCAAACCGTGATAATTGCAAAGCGAATTTCTTCAAAAGAAAATCCTATATCGCAATGAAATCGGAAAGAGACCCCAATAACTCTAAAAACGAGCACTCTGTTGGTTTATTCCAAAGCTCCCAAAGAAAAAAATAATTCAGGAGACCACTTTGATATTACAACGCGATCGTTCGACACTGCGGAGTCGTCCGATTTTGTTGGTTTGTTTATTTTATTCAATCTCACTGCCTACCGTGAAATTAATATAGAAGATATTGGATTATATAGGGATGATGACATTATGGCTGTGAGAAAATCTACTAACTTAAAAATTGACAGGGTTTGAAATTTGAATTTAAGTGCCTAAACCTAAGTTACTATTAATACAAAATTTAAAAAAAGGTAAACTTCCTAGATGTGACATTTGTCTTGATGAAAAATATATATATACCATCCATATAAAAAAACAAATATCAATATTTTATATATCCACCAGAAGTCAAATCACCCCCACATCCGCACAAAAACTAATTAGTATAAACTCTGCAAATGGAGAGATATTTTACAAACATTGTAATTTTTATAACAAAGCTTTAAAGAATAGTGACTATAAATGCCCAGATATTAAATATAATAAGGATAATAAAAATAACCATAGAAAAAATAGAAATATCATTTAGTACACACCCACTTTTAACCAAATGGTTAGTAGCAAGGTAGGGTAAAAGTTTCTTGGTTTGATTGAAAAACATCTTCCAAGAAAGAATTCTCTTAGCAAGATTTTCAATAAAAGTACAGTAAAATTAAGTACAAATTGGACTGAAAATTTAGAAAAATTTGTAAATAACATAAAATTTTAAATAAATGATTAAACCAAAATCATAATAGTGTTTCACGAACGAAAATAAAAATATTAATGAAAAATTATGTAACTGCAGAAATCCCATATTCTTTTGCAAAATGTCTTAGAGAATTTATAGTTGACCAATAGTATTTCATCTCTTGAAAATCCAAGTATTAAAAAAATGATATTGGTAGCACAAAAAATGATTTTAAATTAAGATGGTACCAACATCTTACGTCATTCAACAATGTGTATCGTAACCAAACATCCCGCTCTGAATATTTTGACATTTAAAAGAAACAAAATCCCCCACAGTAAAATGGAAATTGTTAAAACTAATGAGAACTTGTAGGTCATTAAATGACTCATGTCCTCTATGCCTACATGAGAAGTTAGATATTAAGTTTTTTGTTTTTTTTTTAAATAAAGTTTTATTAAGTCAACAAAGCGAATTAAATATTTTGTAGACCTTGTTATCTTCACATTAAAACATAATAGGATCTTTTATTTAAAAACAAATCTATAATTGAAATTATATATCTATTATTTAATTACATATAATGGTACAAAAATCTGTTCTTTATTCACTAAATTTTAATTTCAACATTGCCGTGTCTCATGTACCATTTAATATAAGTATTGTATCGATGTAATTATATATATATATATATATATATATATATATATATATTATATGATTAAATCATATAAAAAGCCCCTTGTAAGACGGCCCTAAAGTATAAAAAATAAATTAAAAAGTAAAATGCCAAAATTAATACATGGCTCAATACCGGCACCTCGTATCTTTATAAATGTTCTAAAAAAAAAAAAAAAGGAGTATTTCATGTCTATTACACGATAGGCAATTCTAGACAACCATGAATTACATACCCACGCCTAACCTCTAACCTACATTTTTAATTTTTCCAATTCAACTTAGACCTGTATTTAGA